TTATACGTATTTATATATATAATAAAATATTTATATGTATATATATATATATGTATTTACAAACACAGATATATGTGTATCAATGGGCTTCTCTCAAATATATATATATATATATCTCCCTCTCCAACTCTATACCTCTCTCGTTTTTAGTAAAAAGTTCATGTATCATATGTTATTAGGGAGAGAGGCAGATGCCAAAGAGGGAGAGAGGCAGATGCCAGAGAGGGAGAGAGGGAGATGCCAGAGGGAGAGAGGCAGATGCCAGAGAGGGAGAGAATATCTTGATACATAGGAGAGAAGCAGAGAGCGATAGAGCGAGAGAGCCATGACCCGCCCCCCCCCTCAGTAGTGTCAGGGTGTCACACTAGTAGTCGACATATTTAGTGATTAGTGTCTGGACTCTGCTAGTCCGGACTGTCTGGTCTGGTGTCTGGACATAGTACAGACTGGACGCAGGAAGAAGTGAAGAAAAGGAAAATCATTGTTCTCCCTCCCGAGACTCGCGACCCGTCCATCAGAGTTCAGGGTTTAAAGTCATGACTCACATCATGTGCGTGAGACGGTGACCGTGTCCGTGTGAGAGTCGACACTCGACACTCGACTGTCAGACTGGGAGCGTGAGAGAGAACGTGTTCAAAAATAAAATATTTATCTGATAAAATATCTGATTCTGAGATTTTAGCCACAAGTCCGAGAGAACACGCCAAGGTGGTCACTCGGTCAGGACTCCAGGACTCAGCAGGTAACGTCACTGCGCCCTACGGTCACTCGGTCAGAGACTCAAGAAGTCAAAAGTCAAGACTCCAGAGTATTAGGCAATAGGCATAAGACAAGACCATAAGCGTATACTTTTATGATTTATAAACGGTTGACCGTTTATTGAGGGATTGCACTTCGGATTTAGACCTATTTGAAACGAAATGGGCTATCTGAATGTGTCACACAACCGTTCCAGTTGCTGGTTCTTTCAGGTACCAACGTAGCGATTTGGCGCATGGACATACTGTGGCACCTAGAAACTGCACCCCATAGAAAATTAGTGAGGCTTTTTATATAAATATTTTTAATAGGTGACTTTAAACGTTCAATTATTATTTATAAACGGTCAACGTTTGAAGTTATTTAGCTCAGCAGTCAGCAGACGCAGTCAGCACACAGTGTCACCGACTCCGTAGTCCGTAGGGGGGGGGGGGGGGGGGGTAATCGGCAGGAGCCGGGGAAGAAAATATATATTTCTATGGCTGCTAAAATATTTAAATAAATAAAAAATGCCATTGTTCTTAGGTCTCGTGGCCATAGATATCAATTTAGATTCGACCAACACCAATCACATCGTCGTCGAAAATTAAATCGGAAAATTATCGAGCGTGACTGTATAATACCGATGTACGGGAAGTACGCAGTCCACACTCCACTGACTCCACTGATAAATATTTTTCCTACAAAATAAACAAAAAAGCAATAACAAAAACTACACACATACACACATAAATAGCCACGATTCCACATGTGTATGACTGCAGTATCTGCTTAAATATGTGGATCATGCATCAAGTGGGTCTTCTCCATATAAATATACGAGCGTGAATATTTCGATTGAAGTGTATTCAACCTGCGATGGAATTGCTATTTTTTTTAAAGGAGAAACTTTGATGAAAACATAGAGTGGTCAGGATCCGCACGGTATAAGTATCGTATATATACTTACAAATCATTTAAAACGCACAATAACAAACGTATACACTATGCCGCAGGTATACTCACGAGGTAGAATCAGTGTATTTGGGATGGATAATGACAAAGATAAAGGGAGTATAGGGAGTATAAATCTGTCCATCCGAAAAATCCCCATATGGAAGTGGTTTATCGGTGCACTGTTGGTATGTGTGGTCGTGTACACCAATACATACGCTGCAGAGGACAACACCGTCGCTGTACAGAATATACCTGTACGCGCAGACAATGTAAGTATACATGATAGTAATCCTGCACACCCAGACAATATAGAGAAAGGTTACACTAGTGGCGAGGTCAACGTATTGGATAACATGGAAACACACAACGCCATGCTTATGCGTAGTAATCCTCTAAAGAAAGATACCGAACCCCTGAAAGATATTGCTACAAGCAGTTTCTCAATGGACATACCTGCTTTACCAAGGAAACGCACAGTGGGTGGTATGATCACCCCAGCAGCCGACCCATGCAATAGTGCTGCGACTCAGGAGAACCTGTTAACAGATAAATACACGCTTATTATGCTGGTGCACGGATGGACCAAGTGGGAACAGTTCATACGTGACATCACACCCAGGGATGCCCCGAGACTTGAGCAGGTAATGCAAAAGCGACTTTGTGTATATGGATATGAAGTGTTTAAAACAGTGTACTATATGTAAACGAGGGAATTGAAACTTACTCTCGCTTCGCTAGGATGGGGACGCGACATTAATTTGCGCTTATTGGCAGTTATCAATCCTGCCACAATTTTTTTCCTACAACGTTTCATACTCTGTGCTTCTTTGCCGCTCTGATGACAACATTTTATCTGAACTTCTGTTATGTATAAATACATTTTCAAATACATTACAAGAACATGTACTTATGCATTTGCATATACATTTGCATATACATGTTCATTTATATCTATGTGTGTGTGTGTATTTATATTTCTTTTTAATCATATATATATATATTACATACACACACACACATACACACACAC